AGATGCAGCTGAGATGTCTGAGGGGCAGAACCGTAACCAGGCCCTGGATGAATCCCGGAGTTGACATGGGAAATTCAGGTTCTCCAAGCAGGGTGGGGGTCAGGAGGCAGGAATGGAGGTTGGGACCCTGAGTCAGACTCTGCATACTCCTGGGCCCCAACCTGTGGCCGTTCCTAGAGAGGTGGGCTTCACTCTGCATCTCCCGTCCTCCCCCTGTGATTTCTCAGCCTCCCCTGGGCTTCCTGCTTGTCTCAGGTTCCAGGGCCTTTACCCTCAGAGGTGGCTCAGATGGGGGCAGTGTGCAAATATATGTGGGTACAGGCAAACCTCAAAGGCCCTAGAGACCCCCAGGTGGAGGCAGCACCCCTTCCCTTGGGTCCCTCAGTTGAACTGCCCCACAGTGTACCACTCGCTCCCCTCTGTAGCCGCTATCGTCAAGTGGCCAACACTCCTAGGATCTGGACCGGGCTTCAGCAGGAAGGGCCAGAGGCGGGTAGGAAGCAGTCAGAATGGGGCTCCACACCTGCTCTACTGCTTACTGGCTGCAAGGCCCAGACAAGAGAACTCGTGTTCCTCAGTTTACCCAGGTGTGAAACAGGGATACTATCTCCTGTGAGGAGTGGAGGCAACCCAGGCGGAGGGGCTGGGAGGGCCTGGCCCAAGGAAATGAGGATCAGTTCCCTCCCCAGTGAGGGTGGAAGATGGGAAAGAGGCAATGCTTAGGTGCTCTCACTGCCGCCCACTCGGGCACTGCCCTACTTCAGCCCCAGTTGCCAGGGAACCACTGGGTTCCTCACTAACCTGGATTTCTCTATTGATGGGCGGCCTTTGTCTTCTGCCTTCCTGTGGGCCACCACCGAGGGAGGCCCATGTCCAGCTGTGTTTCCTGGCAACCCCAGCCTCTGGAGGCTGCAGGGAAGTGCACAGGCCCTGACACTGCCTGGGAGACAGTGGTAGCCGCCACTTCTAGTCCAGACGGGCACCTGCCTCCTCTGGGATGCAGCCAGAAAGCCCCCTCAGATACAACTTGTTCTTGGCCTCTTCTTCCTACCAAGGCACCTGTAGACCTAGGGAGTGGGGTGTGCAGGACTCTCAACTTGTAGCTCAGGTTGGGTGTGACCCGGGCTCTGCCCACCAGCCAGTCCAGAGCCCTCTCCATCCTGCCCTCCCACAACCTAGGTTCCCTCTTTGGCTAGTGGGATGCCAGCCTGTGTACTAGGCCCTGTGCCAATCATTGTACATAATAAATGTCAGAGTCTCATTTATACCCGACATCTTCCTGCTAAATGTGTACCCCCTCCACAGTTTACACATGGGGAAACAGAGGCACAGTGCATGAGGGCTTTGTGCCAGGTTGTGGGCTATTTCATGTGCATTTCCTACTCTTAATCTTTACAGCACAAAGCCAGTGGCAAACAGCAAGGCAGGTTGTTTCTCCCCAGTTAGCCCAGGGGTTCAGTTCCAGGTGTACTGTCCCCTTCCCCCCCGTCCCAACCTCTGGGCTCCTTAACATCAACCTGCAACCTGGCAGACCTGGAACCTCTCCTGAAGGCATATTTTCTGATCCCTGTACCGTACCTCAGTCCAGTACCACTCACATGCACAGCACCAGGGCAAAGGGATTAATGCAGAATAGGAGGTAGTGGTAGGGACTTCCAGGAGGAAGTGACTTTGCAAGGAGCTATGAAGAAAGAGTAGGTGTTGACCAGGTGATGGAAGGGGGTTCTGGAAATGCAGGTACCAGTGCTAGTGAGAGACAAGTGTGTCTAGGGCACTGAAAGCATCTCAGATTGGCTGGGGCTGGGGACAGACCTCTGGTGACAAGGTACCTAGGGTGCCTGTGGCCACCACCCCGCCCCCCCCCCCCCCCCCAGTCAGGGAGGGAGCATGGGACTGTGGGAGATCTTTGGGATTCTAGATTCTGTGGATAAAGTTGGAGTTGTGAGAGTGGAGGCTTTAGGGGGTGAGGTCTGCCATAACCCCTGCAGCTTCAGTTCTGGGAAAGGGGAAGCTGCTGAGGCCTAGGCTGCTACTGTGGCTGCAGCTTCAGCTTCCTCTTTTCTCTGAGGCCTCCAGGGCTGTATCTCCCTGGGGCTCATCTGCCTTCCAACTTGGGGCCCTGGGGCTCTGGACTGGGTATGGCTAGTTGGCTTCCTTCCAGGGAATTTCTGGTTCTAATTGTTTGGGCAGTGTTGGAGGGTGGGGGTGGGCCAGCACAAGGAAGGGCCCCCCATGTTTGGAGACCTGCTCCAGACGCTGGGGAAGTTTTGTGATGAGTGAGGCAGACAGCCCTGCCCTAGCTGCTGTCTGGGGCAGGGAGTAGGGGGTGGGGGGAGTGGTAAACACCATGCAGACAATTACTAATTACACACCTGGGCAGGAGGTGCAGGGGTGAGGGTGATGGAAGGAAATCACATGACCTGCTTTAGGCTCATTACTGCACTTTAATCTCATGACAGCCTTGTCCTGGGACATAAGCCTTCCCATCCTAGAGGCAAGGAAACTGAGACCCAGCCTGCTGAGTCAGGCCCCACAGGGGGGGTTAGTGATAGTGGGGACTTGCGGGTGGTCCCAGACTGGGAGACCAGGGAGGGGTAGCCTCTGGGCCAACTTCCCTTAGTGGGAGGAGGTTCTCTTTGGAGAAGAGTTCAGGGTGGGGGCAGGGAGAAAAGGTTCCTGGCTATGGGCTGAGGCACTGCCCCCTAGGTTCTGAGGATGCCTATGCTGACAGCCTCTTCCAGGAAGCCCTCCAGAGGTACCAGCCTTTGGAAGGTCACTGACTACTCAGTCATCTGGACCAGAGGGTTAGGGTTGGTACCTTCACTGGTTCCCACCCAGTACAGGGGCTTCTATCTGAACTTGCTTTTTGGTCAAGATAGCAGGGCACAGGGCTTGACTACTAGAGGCCTGGTAAAGAACGGGGTGCAGAGGGACTGTCAGAGCAGCAGGTATGCCCACATGTGTGCACCACGTTTGCAGCTGCCTGACTGAACAGGTCTATGGGGTCTCAGTCTGGACTGAGTGTGGGGGCCAGGGAGCTGCTATAAGCAGAGATGGGGCAGCTAGTCTGGAGTAAGTGCTGGTTTGGGGTAATTAGACAGCACATAATTAGAAGGCGTCAGGGCACCAGGTGGTGTCTGTGAATGTGCTGGAGTGGGTCCTCTCTCCCTGGCTTTAGTCTGGGACTTTGGGACCCCCATTTTCCTCACGGAAATTGTGAGATGTCTCAATTTGAGCAGCTAGAAATGAGCAGCTGCACAGCCCTCCCTGTGGGCTTAACGTCTCCCAGCAGGTGTTAGTCTGTGTCCTCCCCAGGGACAAGAGGTAGTGCTGGGCTGGCCAGGGCCGTGGGACCCATGGTCAGATCTGTGAGTCAGAGGCTGTGAAGAGCAGGGAAGAGGCTGTACAGGGAGGGCTTGAGTGGGCTCTGGGCCTTGTGCAGAAACTGAAAAGGAAGACGTGTGACTAAATTAGGGTGGGGGGGCACAGGGAGGGTGGCCCTGGGGTGCCATCTGTCATTGGGCGCTGAATGCCAGGGTGGGGCCTTCACCCTTCTCTGTGGCCTGGTCTACTCCTGCCGCAGGTTTTCCCCTGAGCTGGCTTTAGGCCCAGAGCTACTGCCAGTGACCTAGAGAGTCCCGAGGGTGACTGTGTGACTGCTGCCCCTCCCCCTCCCCATGGTGTAACTTAAGCCCCTGGTCCGGCTGAGATCTGTGCCTGCCAGGCTGCCCAGAGAGGGTGGGAGGATCAGTTTGCTCTGGCTCCTTTTCCAGTAGGATGCCCAGGCCACCTGTAGGGTGAGGGGTTCTCTTGTGACAGCCCCAAGCAGGGTCACCTCAACCTAGCAGGGGTCTTGGGCTAGTGACTGAGCTCTCAGGCCACCCCTTGGGGTTCATAGGGTGCATGTAGTGTGGACTGTGGCTGAGATCCACCAATCACCCTTTCCCTCACCCTCCTGAGCCTGCAGCCTGGAAACACACCACGTTCTGCCCAGTCCTATTGTCTATAGAGAGTCCTTCCTGCTGTTCCCTCCTTGTCCTCTGACTGCAGAGATCACACTCAGCCTGAGTGCTCAGTCTTAGGTCAGTGCCCTCGCATTCTGCACTCTCACCTGCCTTGTTTTGCTTCTCGCCATGGCCCACCTGACAGAGCCATTCTGCTAGGCTGCTGGCCACCCTTCTCCCCAGTGGCACAAGCTCCCTGGGGACTTGTTCATAGGGATTTCTGTGCTGAGGGCAGGAGGGAGGGAGGCTAATTACTAGCTTCCACCCTGCCCCCAGCTTTGCCTGAGGCACTCCCCTGGCCTGGCCTTGGGGCACAGAGGCAGTGGAGTGTGCTCCAGGGCTCCATGAAGAGATTGTGGGCATCTGGGCCCTGTGGGAGGACCAGGACTGTGATGGGTGTGGGAGAAGGGGAACATGCATGGGCCTAGAAGGACCAGACCCAACTCTGGGAAAGGGAGGTCTAGAGAAACCCCAGGAACCAGAAGTCTTTATGTTGGATTTTGAAGGGGGAAGGAAAGAACCTGCCTTGAAGCAAAAACAGCTAGAGAGAAGACTTGAGCTGCATGATCCTGCCTTTAGTCTGCAGGGAATTCTTAATGCTGGAGTCTGAGACCTGGAGGGGCAGAGACTGTGCTGAGGGGATTGCCAGCCCTCAATCCCCTGCCCCCACCTAGGCCCACAGCTTCCTTCTTCCTTCCCAACTCCCTGCCTCAAGGTGCCTGTTTATGAAACGGGAAGGAAGCCTTTCCTCCTAGGGAAGCTCAGGCCAGTGGGAAGCCCCCAAGCTGGCCGAGTCTTGGGCCCCCCTGCAGTCTGTGCTGCACTGGGAGGCTGGCCCTAGACAGGGCACCCCACCCCCTCTACTCACGCTTGCACTGCCGGATGGTGTGCGTAGGCCAAGCCCACAACACCTTGCACATGAATTCCACCCTGCCCTGTCCTGGAAGCAGCACTGCCTTGCTTGTGTCATCTCTGAACCCCTTCCTTCTGCTCTAGGCTGGTGACCGCAGGGGCCTGAGGATGAAGTGGGGCCCACAGCTCTGGCCCCTGTCCTGCCTCCTTGTGGTGAGTTGGGGTGGGACTGTGGGGAAGCGGAGAGTTGAGTCTGGGCTTCTGGAGGCCTCAGAGTTGATGGCATGTAGGTGCGCTCCAGAGCTCCCAGGTGGTGCTGAGGCCTTTTACACAGCTCTTTGAAGGATCTGAGTTGGTCTCATCCCGAAAGCACCTCTTAGTCCACATATTCCTAGTGCAGGAGGCCTCGTAGCACTTGGCAGGCATTGGCAGCCAGGTCTGGGCCTGAAGAGGTCCCCAGAGCCTTCCCGGTGGCATTCTCTTGGCCCTCCAAGGCAACTGGCTCTGCTCTGCCTACCAGTGCCAAGCTGGGGCCAGATCATAGGACTGGCAGGAGGCCAGAGGGTGGCTGTTTCTCCACAGCAGGAAGGACTCAGGGCAGACAGGTCACACCTGGACAGTAAGCCGAGGGTGGAATAGATTGAGGGACACAACTGAGAAAACCTTCTCTTCGGACATGTCATGCCTATGTGAAGCTGGGGTGTGCAGGAGTTGGCCTTGTCATGGGGAGGTCATGGAGGAGGATGTGGTCCCAGAGGCTCAGCTGACGGCTCAGAATAGGAAGCACCAGCTGCAGGCTTGGCCCCAGGGCGGATGGACAGAGCTGGTCAGTGACACACCCAGCTGGCAGGGGAGAGGCAGCAGGGGCTGCAGGAAGGGGCAGAACTGAAAGAGGAATTGGGAAGTGTTTCTTCCTCAAGGACTGGTTAAATGAAAGGGGTTGCCTCAGAGATTCCAGAGCTTGAGAGCCAGATTCAGTTCTGCCTGGGGCTTTCCAGCACTTTCCAGAAGAGATGTATGTCTCTTCCAACCTGGGCAATGGCCATGTAGCAAGTCTGGGTCAGGCATGAGGGATTGAGGTCAGAGAGTTTCCCTGAAGCCTGGGGTGGTGGCCTGTGCCATCAGGGTCTCCAGCCCTGCAGTGTCAGTAAGTGGGTGGTAGGTGGCTGGCCCCAGAGACCCCACGACTCTGCATCTGCTCTCAGCGTGCTCCTGCCCACTCCTCTTCCAGCTGCTGCCCTGGCCTCTGGTCACTTCAACACCAACAATCCCTTGGCAGTGCCCACCTGGGGAGGAGCCTGATCTGGTAAGCACCCTGCCATTGGCCCTGTCCTAGAGAGACTGAGGAAGTAGGTGCAGTTCCCATACCTGGTTTCCCAGGGACCTGTCAGGCTTGGCTCCTGGCTTCACTCTTGCCCTTTCTCTCCCATAGGACCAAGGGCAGGCCATATCCTGCAGGCCTTGCCCCCTAGGCACCTTCTCAGCCTCATGGGGCTCTAGCCGATGCCAACCCCACTCCCTCTGCGGCCCTCGAGGGAGGCTGAAGGCCCAGGTGGGCACAGAGACTCAAGACACACTCTGTGGAGACTGCCAGCCAGGGTAAGCTAAGGGGGCAATGGGGAGTTAAGGGGGGTTCACAGCTGTGTAACCAGAACCCTAGATCCTGGGGTCCTGGCCACACCTGCCCCTGAATGGGCTCAGTCTTCCCATCTGTGAAATGGGGTGGTCAGAACCAGTGAGGTGCCAGCAGGAAGGAATCCAGCCTCTCCTTGGGGTAGTTCTGGTTCTCAGTGACATCTTCCCTCCCTGCAGGTGGTTTGCCCCTTCAGAAGTCCCCCATGCCCCCTGTCAGCCATGCCCCTGGACACCTCTGGGCACTCAAGCCTGTCACGGTGAGTGCAGATGAGGGCTGAAATTGGTGGGGTGGTGGAGGTGGGGATCTGTCAGGTTTGCACTAAGGGACAGCAACTCCTCATGTTCATTTGGGGCTTTGGGGGTCCTCATTCCAGCTGCTCAGGGAACTGGGGAGATACACAGCTAGAGAGTCCAGGAAGGTGTGGTCACTTGCTCCACTGTCCACCCACCTTGTTTTTGAATGGCAGAGGCTTTCCCGTAGGTGGCAGCCACAGTTGAGGGGATGGGGGCTCACATCCCGGAGCTCATTCCCTCAGAGACCCACATGTGGGAACACTCCTCCTCCTCACCTGAGCTGGTCACCTTCTGAGACAGTGTCTGGGCATGGGCCTCAGGTGCCATCACTACCCTCTGGAACCCACTATGAAGGGTACACAGACACCAGAGGGCTGGTGTTTGAGGCGACCTTGCCCAGGCTGACGGGATCGCCCACGGGGCAGGGGCTGTTGAGTGGCTTCCCTAGCACGGCAGGACGGGTGGCCCTGGCCACGTCAGTGTGGCCCCATGCACCCTAACTGGGGCCTGGGTCTCTGCATGTCTCTCTCTCTGCCTCCATCTTCCCTTCATCCTTGTGGTGCTCAGGGCAGGGGCGCCGGGCCCGCCGTGGCGTGGAAGTGGCCGCAGGGGCCGGCGGCAGCGAGGAGATGCAGCAGCCTGGGAACGGCACACGGGCGGGCAGCCCCGAGGAGACGGCCGCCCAGTACGCCGTCATCGCCATCGTGCCCATCTTCTGCCTCATGGGGCTGCTGGGCATCCTGCTGTGTAACCTGCTCAAGCGGAAGGGCTACCACTGCACGGCCCACAAGGAAGTCGGGCCTGGCCCTGAAGGTGGTGGCAGCGGTGAGGCCCCTCTGGGTGCCGGGGTGGGGACAGGGGGGTTCCAGGCTGGGCTGGCCCTGCTTGGGGGTTGCCCAGGAGAATCTTGGTCTGGAGGGTCTGATAAGGGGAGAGGCCTGCTGCAGGCTCACCCATGGGTGCTGCCTATGGATCACAGGGTGACACTGCAGACAGACAGGATGGAGGAAGGGTGAGGTGGCCTCGGGTGGTGACAGGGCAGAGCAGAGGCAGGACAGCCGGTCAGTGGCTTCAGTGGGATTCCCACCTGGGGTGAGGCCTACTCAGCCATAGGGCTCTGGACTCCTGGGGGCTGCAGTTGTGTGTGTGTAGTCCAAGGGTTAGACTGCCTTTGTAGTGCTCAGGGTGCCCTATGACCCTTGACCTGATAGACTGGGGGGGTGGGCAGGGGGGGGGGGACACTTGTCCTAGGTCCTACAAAAGAGGCTTATAGTCTGTTCCTTTGAAGACTGTACCTCCCTGGGGACTGTGCCGCATACCAGTAGCTCCCAGGGCCCTGCCTGAGTTCCCGTTCTTCTCCCTGGCCCTGTCCCCCAAAGTCTGGAAGGGGAGTGGGGCCCACATGCCCAACCACTGCCCACAGAGCCATGTGGCCAAGTCAAGACCCCATGCTGGGCTGCCTGAAGCAGGCCAAGCCTTAAGCTGCTGGCAGTAAAGTCTGAGAGGCAGGAAGGAGACATGGACTTGGGGGGGAGGGGGAGGAGAGGGGAGCCAGGAAGGTGGCCACTCAGGCCTTCGTGCTGGGGCTCTGCTTGTTTTCTTAGTCTAGAATTCGCTTTAGCTGATGGTTGTGCCAATCCTAGCAGCTCTGCCTGCAGCCTGTTGCCACACAGTGTGGTTGGGCCCAGAGGTGACCAGAGGCCCTCAGTTCACTATGTGGACAGGGCGGTGAGGAGGGAGGGACGGACTGGGCCCTCAGTGGCAACTTGCCAGACTTGTCCAGGATTCTGTGCAGAGAGGCCACCCCCAGCTGAGGAGGGGAAAGTGGTGCCGACCACACACTTGCTCTGCAGGGATGAGAGTTCAGCGAGTCCTGAACCACTGGGGCCTTGGGGCTGTTGGCACGGGAGGGGGGTGGTTTGAGGCTGAGCAGTGAAGGTGAAAAGAAAAGAGCCTCTGGAGGGCCATAAACTGCGGGGTGTGCAGTGTCACTCTGTGGAAGGCCTGGAGTGCCCTCTGCTGGCACATCCTGGAGTAGCTTGCAAGCCTGGCCTTGCCCCCAGATTTCCCAGGACCATGCTCTCTTCTCTTCCGCAGGGATCAACCCAGCCTATTTAGCTGAGGACGCCAATGAGGACACCATCGGGGTCCTGGTGCGTCTGATCACAGAGAAGAAAGGTGGGGACGCATGACCCTATCCTGTGTTCCTCCCTGGGCTTGGGAAGTCGCTGCCTGGGTTAGAGTCCCACCCTGCTCTGGCCTCCTGCCGGGTGCCCGTGCTTCCTGGCCCTCTCTCACGAGTGTGGCTGGCAGTGTTGCCTCTTTTCTTCCTCCTCTTGTCTGCTGAGGCATGGAAGGCTCTCAGCCAGGCCAGGGGAGGCGTAGCTGGTAGATAGGGGGGTTGTCCTAGGGCAGAGGGGTGTCCCTCATGGCCCAGAGGCAGGTTCTGACTGCAACTGCCCACAGAGAATGCAGCGGCCCTGGAGGAGCTGCTAAAGGACTATCACAGCAAACAGCTGGCGCAGACAAGCCAGAGGCCTGTGCCCAGGTGAGTGGGCAGGTGGGCAAGGAGACACCTACCCACTGGCGATCCGTATGCCTCCTGGGGCTCTCCACTTAGGTATATCCCCTCTCCTGTTACCTGCCTCGTGTGGCCAGGGGCCTGTCGTGCCAACTGTTCTCACTGTGCCTTCCACAGGCTGCCGCCGGGCACCCCCAGCATGCCGCACATCTGCCCACATCGCCACCATCTCCACACCGTGCAGGGCCTCGCTTCACTCTCTGGCCCCTGTTGCTCCCGTTGTAGCCAGAAGAAGTGGCCTGAGGTGCTGCTGTCCCCCGAGGCTGCAGCTGCCACTGCTCCTCCTCCCAGACTCCTGCCCAGCGTGGGCAGGGCCCCCAAGGCTGGAGCCAAGGCAGGACGCCAGAGCGAGATCACCATCTTATCTGTGGGCAGGTGAGGCGAGCCCGGGCTCAGCAGGGTCAGGGAGCCACATGACCGCAGAGGTGCGCAGAGGGTGGGGCCCAGGTGGCGCCCCAGCACCTTTCTTAGCCTCTGGGCAGTTAAGGGGTGGCCAGTGAGAAGTCTGGTCTTCCTGGCTATACTATCTCGCATGGCGCCCGCAGGCTCCCAGGGCGGGGTCTGGGCCCCTCAGTCCTGTCCACTGCAGCCTGGGCTTGGGAGGGTGCTGGCAGGGACTGGCGCTCTGGTCCATGAACTTTCCAGGAGACCCTGGGCAGAGGCTGCCCCTTTCTGTACCTGCGGTTCCCCCTCTAAGGAGCAGACAATTGTGCCAACTCTCCACACAGGTTCCGCGTGGCCCGGATTCCTGAGCAGCGGACAAGCTTACTAGCACCAGAGGTGAAGACCATCACAGAGGGCGGGCCCTCGGGGGGCAATCTCCCTGACTCCCCGCAACCCGGACTCCCCACTGAGCAGCTGGCACTGCTGGGGAGTGGTGGAAGCCACACAAAATGGCTGAAGCCTGTAGCGGAGAACAAGGCTGAGGTGAGGGGCAGGCAGGGAAGATGTCGTGGACCAGCCCTGACTGGAGATGGGACAGGGTGGGGGGCACAGGGGCAACTTTCCTGGAGTCCAAAAAGCCCAACTCATCTCTGACCCCTCAATCCTGTCTCCTAGGAGAACCACTATGTGGTCCGACTGAGTGAGAGCAGCCTGGTCATCTGAGGAGCTGTCATACCGGAGGACAATGCAGCCCTGCCCTGGGAGCTTCTGGAGGCTTCCTGGAGGAGGTAGAGTTGCAGCTGAGCCTGTGAGGACCAAGAAGCAATGGCCCAGCAGACAGAAGAGCCAAAAGTCAAAGCCTGGAGGTGGGACTGTCCGCCCCAGGGAGCAGGCAGGGCGGGTGCTGTGTGCAGGAGCAGGTTGAGACTCCTCCCAACCCCCCCAATCCCTGCTGCCCCCATTCCTCCCCTGCAGGACGCCCACGACCCTGCACCCTGCCCTAGCCAGATCCTTGGGGCCCAAGGGATCCTCTACACACCCAGATGGCTAGGCCCTGATGGTAGAGGGCCTCCTGCCTGGCACCCCCAGTACCCTACACCTTGGTAATTAGGCAGCCCCTCCCTCTGCACAGGGCCTCAAGCGGATGTCATCTGTACCCTCCTGCTCCGGCAGGTCCCATGGGAAAGGGCAACACAGGCTAACTTCCTGGGTTCCAATCCTGGCAAGTCCCTGGCATCACTGGATCCCAGTTTCTCTGACTGAAGTGGAGAGGGGAGGACGTCTCCGTACCTGTGGCCTCTCCAGCTTCTTGTAGGCTCTGGCAGGGTTGTTTTGGGAAGTGTTTGACCCCCTTGCCACAGTCTCATTAGAAGAAGCTTTAACTGGCTTTTTTTTTTTTTTTTTTTGCTGCTTCTAGAGCCTCCACTTGCAATTCAAAGCCCCCATGGGGTTGCCCATCCACAGCCTAAGGAGGGGCTCAATGCATGTGCCTGCCCCTCCTCCCCCCACTCTGCCATTTTCATTGACACTGAACAAAACAGACTTAATCTGGGCAGTGCTCTGGCTCAGCCTGCCCACCACCACCAAGATCTCTGGCCCTTCCAGAGAGGGCTGTGCAACAGGGCTGGAGAGGCACCGTCCCCGTGGTGTTCCTGTGTCTGTCCCCAGGGCCGGACAGCGCAGGCGACTGTCCTGCCCAGCCCCCATCTCCATTCTAGTTCAGCGACCTGTTATTTATGTTGGGACTGTGCAGGCACGAGCCCCACCACCATCCCCATTTCTCTTATTTATTGAAACTTTGCTGTTGTCTTATTCTTGCATCTTCATCCCCATCTGTTAAGTAATAAAAGGTGGGAAAGTGGTGTCACGAGGAGCTTCTTTTCCCTGTGCCTCTTCCCCAGGTCACCTGGCCATTCACAGAATGGGTCTGTGTTGGGCACTATGGGCAAGATGCCCTCAGCATCCTGGGCAGCCAGGCACCTGAACAGGTGAAACGGGATGGGAGGCCCCTCACATTTGTCACTGTAGGCCCTCAGAGTTGCACCATCCCACGCATGTGCAGTGCAAACCACGTGCAAATCAAGAACTGTTTATATTTTTGTTTTGAAATGTGGTATTTTACACTTAAAGCACTTCTTAACATGAGTCAGCATATTTCATGGGCTGAATGCACAATGGCTGATGGCCCTGTGTTGGATAAGTTCTAGAAGTGGAGCCTGAAGATGAGGGGTAAGTGAGACCAACTGGGGTCTAAAAGTGGGAAAGGAAGCTGTATCCCCTAGAGCAGCACATGTGGAGGTCAGACATTGACAGAAATAGCATCTGGGCAGGTTCACTTAGAGATTCCCTTCCACTCTGATTTCCAGACTACAGGCTTCTCTCTGGGGCTTCTAGGATACGCAGGAAAGGGACTGGAACAAAACTTCACCTGCACTAGAAAGGAGGGAAGGCAAGATCTAAATTTCAGGAGCGATATTCTACAGCAATTTTCTGGAACAAAATCAAAGATTGCCCACGTCTGGACCGGGTCTGTTGTAAGGGACTGGCAGCATCATCAGTGCCTCAAGGAGCCACTTACTGTGGCCACCAGGGTGCACTGTGGTCCCTATTTGTCATAAGCTGGTTTCTTCTTCACTCTTGGCTGTCCCCTCAGCCAACCAATTCTACTTCACCCAGGACTTGGATGACACACTGGAGTAAGACCAGTGCTCTAGGTGAGTGGGAGAGGGATCGGGTGCCCTCTACTCTGGCCTCCTTTCCCATGACAGGGGCGGACCACAGTTTCTAAACACCCTCCTGTCTGGGGCAGGAGCACCCATCTTGGTGCTGAGCCCTGAGGTTATAAGCATTGCTCCCCTCCGGAGTACCCCTCCATTTTCTGCATCTTAGAAGGTAAGAGAAAGGTATAGCTTTGGCCTGTTTCTTCACCTGCCCCTTCGTCATATTGAGGTCTTCTCCTAGGAGTGGGATGAAGAGAGGTGGGACCAGGTGTCTGGTCTTCACGGCTCCCACCTTTACCTGAAAGCTTTTCTGGCTTGTTCCCTCTAAAATCCTGGCAGCTCAAGGGGATGCCCAGGCTGCTTCTGCATCCCTCCCCCCCCACCACCACCACTCCCAAGAACGACATCTGGTCACTTTAAAAATTTTTGGAAACTTTTTTTTTAATAGTTATTGAATGTTCTACAGCTTACAGTAAATATCATAATTACAAATTCTTGGCTTCAATCTTTCAGAGTGATCACTATCTGATCTTCAAAACAAAACAAAACCCAAAAGAATCCAAAACAACGAAACAAAACCAGATTTACACTTCATACACACAAGCGAGGCCATGGGGCTTTCCAATCTTTACACTCCAGGCTGTGTTTTGAAAACACCTAAAAGTTTTTCGATCAAACTACTTGGAAGACACCAGTCAAAGGTTTATTATTTTAAATGCTTTTCTTTTTAAAATGTGAATTCCAATAAAATTTAAAAATTAGATTCCAACCTGTAGATTAAAATGAATTAAAAAATACAAAATCATATACAATGCTCTCACAGGGATGTTACATGCCATGAGAACAGGTTTCTCTGTCATGTGATATGAAACAGGAATGCAGATGCTTCTGAGTCAGGAGGTGGGGACAGTCCCTTGGGCCTCAATAGGCCATTTCAGACAACTCCAATTTGCTGGAGCCCCATCCTTGCTGCTCTGGCAAGGAAGAGCTTGAGTCTAACCACAGATCCAGATAACCTGGCCTCTGGGCAGTCCACTCTCCCCCTGACTCTCAGGCATACAGGGAAGGCTGGAGCCTGGACATGCTGGTCTTGCTGGGGTCAGGCCTAAGGGTGATGCCACCCATTTGACTCTTATGGGCTGAAGCTTGTCTGCAAGGTTATTGTTTCTATTCTGCTTCAGGAAGGAAACTACCCCCTCTACCAGGACTGGAATGGATACAGGCCTCACTGCTACAGCGAAAATGCCCAGGTGCTAAGGACAAGTCATGGGGAAGCAAGAGCTCATTTCTCTTTCAGGCTTTGTGGCAGCCAGTGCCAACTCCTGTGTCCCTCACTTGGCCTCTGGGCTGGACTTGACAGCTTGCACGGTAGAAAATACCCACTGGAGAAACTGGGGTAGTGGGGCCCAAGTTTGGCTCAGGCAAGGTTGGCTATGGAATGTCGAAGTTGGCCTGCTGGAATTTTGAAGGCTTGGCCCTGGAACCAGGTAATGCTTGATTTCAAAAACGAATTTTCAAGGCGCAAGGGGAAGGTGGCCGAGAAAGGACCAGCCCTGAAATGTCCACAGAGGCGCAGGTGGGAATCTGATCACAGCTAGCTGGGTGTCTGTCACCATCCTGCTTTTGGGTGGGGTGTGGACTCCCCTGGGGCTGTACACTGTCTTGAAGCCTCCTCCCACCTGCTCACTCTACTCCCAAACTGCTCCTCTCTGGATCCCCAAGTTTGGCAAGTAGCTGGGGACAGCATACCCTATAGTAATGTGCTGGAATACAGCATGGAAAAGTGGAGGTTCCATATACGTTTTCAGCTGCAATTGAAATGTGGTGGTGGTGGTATCGAAATTCCTGATCCAGCTAGAATGTGGTGACTAAAACCCAATTGGACTCCTGCCCCACGCCCTCTGGGCCCTATCTGGACACAAAGCAGAACCTACTAATCTGATCTGCAGGGCTCCAGGCTGGCTCAGCCTGTGCCTCATTGGGCCTCGAGCCAAGTCCTGTCCCCATAATGAGGACACCACAACTTGGTGACCTAGGGCCTGTCCTACTTTCAAGCTCCATGTGATTCATTTCAGAAGGTCACTCAGGCCAAAGGAAGCCCTTCCAAAGAAGCATTCCCAGAGGCCTGGAAGTGGGACATCTCACACCTAGAAAATTTGGAGGGTCAGGGTAAGAGCTGGGATAAGGAGACCGCAGTGTCTCAGGTCACTCAGCCCAGGGCTGGATATGGTATTGGTGATCAGAGCGCCCTGCGAGTGCCAACTCGTGGAGAGCGGGCAGGGATCTAAGGTTCCATCAACAGAGGCCTCTGAGCATGTCTTTGGCCCTCGGCATCATGACCCCAAAGTGCTATTGTGAAGTTAGGCCTTTCTGAAAATTCTTACCCTGCTGGCCAGATATGCTCCTCGGTCCTCAGAGCCCTGCTCAGCTGGAAGGAATGTGTTCCTCCGTTTGGGGCAGACATCCTTTCTTCATACCTGCCATCAGAGACTCAGCAGCCAGCAAAAAGGGCAAAGTGATTTAAAAAGCCCAAATCTTAGCTTTTTCATACGAGCTGTGTGACCTTTGGCAAGTCTCTTAAGCCTTCCCAGACTTCCTTTTTTCTATCGAAAAAGGGATTTTGGCAATCAATGTCTAAGTACTTTATACACAAACTAGACAGGTGTGTGTTCTTGTTCTGTATGTAGGCTCTGCACTTTCGGGTCACTGCCAGGAGAGGGAGGAGCTGCAACTGTCTGGTCTAAGGGGAAGAAATGATTCCCCCCAAACCCCCAAAGTAGCAGAAAGATTGTGTGTCAGGCTCTTAACCACTTGGGGGCACTGCAGCCTTCAGGCTGATGTGAGGAGTCTGGACAAGTGGGAAGCCAAGAGGACTGGCTGGTGATGTTGGGGAGCTGCTGGGGTGCCTACAGCACTGCAGCTGTCATGTGGCCTCCCAGCCCCCTCTCCACGAGTCTCCGGTGGTTGGACTTCCTACAAAGACAGGGCCCTTCCAGGTCAGTCAGCTGACCTGTCTGGTGTGACCAGGTCGTCTTTGGAGGATATCCACGACAGACACCGGTGACCCTACCGAGGGTGCTCATCCTAACAGGTACCGTCCCTGCCCGCCTGGGCTCAGTGCCTTGCAGTGACTCCCCAAGCTTGGCCAGGCTTGTGGATCTTGTCAAAGCAAGCAGATGAGGCCAGCTGAACTGAGGCTCTGGTGCTCACTGTATAAAGGGCGCGGGGCCTGCACTCTGCCAGCCTTCCACACCTGGCTTTTGCCTTGGGGCTTGTCTTTGATTTCAAATTACGTAGGGCTAAAAGGGTGCAGAGCACAGATGCTTCAACTGCAAGCCCTTATGTGCAGACTGGGTGCGAGTGGCACTGCTGCGCCTTAGCAAGTCCCGTTTCTGTTCTCATGAATCAAATGGAAGGAATCATTTACTTCAGACTTAACAGATGGTGGGTGTGAAACTTTTATGGACTGTGAGGTACTAGATGTTAGTTTCCACTTACTTGTGTAGTAAGAACCAAAGTGACAAGATCATTCCTAGGTCACCTCTTCTCCCATTTCTGAATCTACCCCAGTTCACCTAGACACAGCAGCGTGCAAGGGAATCTGTTAGGATACCAGCATTCTGCTCGTTTTGGGCAAGCTCCCCTTCCTTCTAGAACCAATTTCCTCACTCGTCAAAAGGGTATAAATAGTTCTGACCTGTCTCTCTTTCAGGGCCAGTAAATTAAAGACTGAAGTGCTCTGAAACCTATGAAGCACCTGGTAAATGCAAAAAATTTCTATTACTATTTTGGCATTTTCCAAACATGTATGACAATCTAAAACAACCTTCACCCACACTTACAAAACCAGAGAGTGGGACGAGGTATTTGCAAAAAAAAAAAATGGATTAACACTGGAAAACTTCTGTTATTTTAAACTGAAACCTTGTCAGCACCCTACAAGACTGTTCAGAACAGCTGGGTTTCTCCTTACCGGCCCTGCAGTTCCTTAGGAGGCCAAGAAGGTGACCCCCGACTCCTGGATCTGGGCTGAGGGTGCTGATGGGCTTTGCCCTCCTGGGAGTGACCAGTCAGCCTCTGAGGTCCTTCTGGCCCAAGGGTTTCCTGACTTTTTCCTCCTTTAGGGAGACATGGAGGTAGGGGAAGGGTTATATCTAAGTTTGCGTGAATTTAAAATGAAGTGATTTAAAAGTCCCAAATGTCATCAATGATCCCATTTTATACAGTAAAATATTCTCGCCCCTACCAGAAGGGCTGCTGGCCCAGCCGAAAGCCAGGAGCAGGAGGGCAGTGCAGGGGCAGCCAGGGTTCCTGGCTGAGACTAGCAGGGCCTCCTGTCCCATAGGTCTGTTCTCAGGAGAGCTACTGTCTCCTGGGCCTCATCCTTGTCTTCCTCCCAGGACTCAGGATGAGGGGCCACTGTCCTAAAAGAGACTCTCCTTTTCAGCCAGCCCACCTGCTCCTAGGGCTGGAATAGGATGCAAGTTCCAGATGTCTTCACAGAATTTCTAAATGTTACTTCTTCATTTGCAATTTCTGTTCTGCCATCTGCCCCACGTGACCTCTGCCCAGTCTTCAACCCCTGCATTTGGAGTCCATGGAGGAAGAGCAGAAACAAAAGCCCAGACTATTCCAGAGCTCACCAGGTGTGGGCGCTGCTGAACTAATTTTTACAAAACCAAGCCAATCCATCCCTAGGTCAATTTTTGTAGGCAACATGCCCCTAGGCAGGAAGGCTGCATTTAATGCTAATTTACTGGTGATCTAAAGAAGTCCTTTGTTTCTCAGGGCCTAGCTGTCAAACTGGGGAATGGATGAGATGATTGCTAAGGTCCCTTCAGTTCCATGAGTCTATGAAATGTTTATTGCTATTGCTTTTCCTTCACCATCCTGACCTTCAGAGCTGCCAGCACCCACTTGGAAAGTGGTTCCTTCACTTTGGCCATGGTGGCATAAGGTAACCAAGAGCTTGGCTTGCCTGCCAGCCCCATGGACAGAAGGGTGAGCCCTGTCACAGGGATGGACCAAGGGAAGGGAGAGAAAAGCCACAAGTTTCCACTCTCATCAGGAGGAAGCTCCTCATCAGAGTGGGTCCATGAGTGCTCAGAGGCCAAGGTCTGGATTACAGGGGCATCTGGCTTTCCAAGGCTCTGGGAGGCTGGGATCCTGCCACTCTGCAGCTGCTTGGCAGGTCTGAAGTCAGAGTTGCCTTCTGAGGAAGTGCCAGGTCAGTTAACATTACTGTGCAAATCAGAGGGTCTAGGCCCAGACAATTTGGCCAGAGACCTACAAAACAAAACCAGCAGGGCAAAAGTCTCTCCCTGCTTTTTCCTTACCACCTGCCCTATTCCCCTCTCCCAAATTCTCCCAAGGTAAGAATCTGGTTTCCCCAGGTTCTTAGCTTGGGATATTAAGCTGCTATGAACATTCCTGCCTAATCAGGTGAGGTGACTTTGTCCTTGGTCTGTTGTGATGGTTCTCAGGAGACGTTTCATTAGGACATAGAATGTCGTAATCTTAAGAAAAATTTAAAAAAAGAAACAATTTCCAGATGGGCCTGCTCAATAGTTCTGAGTCCATATACCATGGACCACAGGGCCACATCTGTTACTCTCTTCAAATAAAACCAAGCCTGCAGCTGAACCACTACAGCAAACAATTGTCTCCCTGGCACTGCAGTGGGCTCCCAGGGGACGAGATGCTTGGAAGGAAAAAGCAGAGAGAATGTACCTGATCAGGCAGGAGGAGGGGGTAGAACTAGAGGGGCAGTGGCTAAGAGGGGGACAGTGGGAGAGGCAGGAGCTCAGAAAAAGCAGCTTTTACAAAAACCAAAAATAAAAACCAAAACCATTTAAGATGCATAAAGTGACCCTTGCACTTCCGTTGTCTCTTCTTGCAAATAGAGGCGGTGCTGCTAGGGAACTGCTCCAGCACCTGTGTAAGACTTGAGTAGTTGCATACAATGTGTGACTCCAGATCTGAGGGGGGAAGGGAAACCATTAGATACCATTTTGAGGCTCCTTCAAGCAGCCTCTAGACTCCCTCCTCTCCACTGGGGAGCTACCTGCTTCGGGTGACTGCCAAGCCTTCCTGGAGGCAGTGGAGGACAGGGCATTGCGAAGTGACATCTTGGAGCGCTGACGAGGCAGCGTTGGGAGGACGCTGCATCTGGCTGAGGTAAGATTTCATTTTGAAGAATGGGGCCCAGAGTTCTAAGAAGCCTTAAGCCCTTAGAATAGTAAAGAGCACAGAATTTAGCACTAGAGGACTAGAGTCAAGTTCCAGCTTAATTCAACATCACTTAACCAGTGAAGTTTAGGTCTTGACCTGTAAAACAGAGCTATCATTTCACTGAACTACTCCGAGGACTATGGGGTAACAAGGAGCTAAAGCGACTCTTACGAGTGACACTCAAGGGGAGTGCCTGGTGACTGGGCCTAGTCCCCTCCCACCCAGCACCCCGGTATAACTCACTTGGATGGGCTGCAGGCTTTACCAATGTGGGGGCACATAGCTGTACGCTGGGGTTCCTTGGGCCCTGTATGTTGGCATGGAGACAGGGTGTGCCCCAATCGCCGTGTGTTGGGGTGCAGTCAGCAGGGTACCTGAGCGTTTGGAGAAAGAAGAGTAAACCTGATGCAGCAACTCCAGGGCACAGGGCAGGGCAAAACCATGGCTTTTTGCAGAGCTGGACCCCGCCTTGCCTGGCAGACTTCATGCTTTTAGGGGAGACTTCTCAGCTGTACTAAGCTAACCACGATTCCTCTTTTTTTTTTTTTAAAGATATTTATGCATACAGAACTAGGGTACCGGCCAGAGGTGCAGGGGCAGTAAGAAGATTCACCAGAGAATCAAGAGCGGGGAGCAGAACAGGCAGATGGACAAAGCACACTGCTGAGGGGAGCAGTGGGCGGGTCAGGAGAGGTCTGCCAGCCATGTGGTCACCTCTGGGGTGGGGACAGAACTGGCACTGAAGTGGCTGCAGACAGCTTCACACTTTAACCTGCTGCACCACCAGGGAGGGCCCTGTATGCCCTTTTACCGCACAATCACCACACTGAGTGGTAATTGGTAGTTTCTAGGAGTTTCCCCACTAACCTTGCTTGCCAGGGCTCTGGTCTGATCTACTGGGAGCTAGTCCCCAGGACCCCAACAAGGAGTAAGAGGGGGCAGAGCAGCATTACCCTGGGCTGGCTGACACCAAGCAGTAAATAACTTCACTGTCCTGATATGGGGAACAAACCCCTTACCTTAGGGCCAGAATAAAATCCCACCTCCTGACCACCTGTTGTATTCTTTTCCTTCAGAAAGTGACCAGCTTATATTTAAATGCTGGGTCTCCTAGAGTTAGAGCCCTCTTTTCTTCTCATGCTCTTCTGAATGTTATCTCACCCAAAGACTTCCCTAAATCTGCTCTTCCTGTCATCTCCCCCAGGCCTGCCCTACGGTTCCTGGCAAGCAGAGGTCTGATGTGTGGTGTAAGCCGGAGAAGGGCCTTCCTGGACTCCTGCTCTCACACTTTACCATTCATTATTGGGCATGTCCCCAACGTACACCCTACTCTTTCTAGAACCGTGCTGCCAAGTCCTCACATCCTTCTCTCCCTTCTGGTCTATAGTGTTCCCCCGTGACCTACTTGCTTCCAGCCTTGCCCATCTAATTCTGCCTCCGTCTTCTACTAGAAAATGTTGCTTCTCTGCCCAAGTCCCATTCTGGCTTCCTGTTACATGACTGCTCATCTTCACTGCCTCCCCCAGGTCCCCTTCTGACTGCGTGCCTCTAGTTCCCACGTGTCTTGGGCCATTTCCTCTCTGAACGTGCCACATTCAGGTTTTTCTCCTGAACAGCTCTTCCTACTCTCATCTCTCTGGTGAGCCTGTTCCCCCTTGAAGGCCTGCTCTGCCCCCTCTTACTCCTTGTTGGGGTCCTGGGGACTAGCTCCCAGTAGATTAGACCAGAGCCCCAGCAGGCAAGGTTAGTGGGGAAACTCCTAGAAACTACCAATTACCACTCAGTGTGGTGATTGTGCGGTAAAAGGGCATACAGGGCCCTCCCTGGTGGTGCAGCAGGGCCACGTTCTACATGCCCTACTCGGTGAAATCTTCCTTACCCCTGAGGACAGTTAAAGGGTCCTCTGGATTCCCAGAACCCCGACAGAGTTCTCATGCCAGGCTGCAGCTGATTCTACAACTGTTTTCCACTGAGCTCCTGAAGGACTGTGGTACACGGTACAAAGACTGCCTTTACCTGCTGACATCGCCATGGTGGTGCCCGCTACCATGCCCATGGCCACGCCGTTGGTCCTTGGGGCAGCAACTGGTGCCGGGTAGATGGCAGAGGGGATGCTGTTGGGCTGGACAACCGTGGTGTGGTGGATAACGTGGGGCTGGGCAGCATACACCGGCTGTGTGTAGTAGGCTCCCTATGGAGGGGGAGGAGGCCACAGGGGTTGCTGCAGAGGCGAGGCAGGATGGGGAGAGGAGAGGGAATCCGAGCCCCCCCTCAACCCCCAATCCCCCGCTGCCCCGGCGCTGAAAGGTAGGTCAGAGAGAGGCACTGGCTCAGGGATACAAGCTCTGGGCCCCAGCTCGGCTCTGCTTCCACCTCACTACGAAGAGTTCAGTGCTGGCTCAGCCCTGGTCTGAAGAATACGGTTCCCACTCCGTCCTAAGTTGTTCCTAGGGGTAAACATGCTATTCCCTGAATGCTGACTTTAGCGTTTAAAACTGTATGTTACTGCAGTGTGTTTCTATGAGCTATTTAATGTGTGAAGAAGGATATAGCCAGAGCACTGTGAGCACACACTCAAAGGATTTCTATAAATGGTCAAGTGGTGTGACTTGTCATTTTACCTGCGGGGGGGGGGGGGCTGTAAATGAAGAGAGCAGTCCCCATGTCTCTTGCCTTCAATTGCCCTTTAGGCAAAAGGTGAAGATGGAGATAAGGACCTGAAGTGACTTTCCTTTGCCTGGATCATGTGGCAGCTTCCTGCCACCACAGCCTGCAGCCTACTGACCTTTGAATGAAGTAGACAAGGGTCCCCGGATCATCTTAATCTGGGGCTTCTTAAATGTTCTTATTAATAGAGAGAGCCTCAGAATGTGGGTTTGTAACAACCGAGGTCTGGGAGCACAGTGCAGAGCAACCTATAAGCAGCCTAGTATCGACCATAAATGAGAAAAATTGATGTCAAGCCTACTTTATCTTTAAAAGTTTGGACTTCTACTCTACAAAACTTTTTAACTAAAAAGTGTCCTCGCCACTCCACATGTGCCACATGTGTGCTACGGCCTAAGAAGCCGCCTCCAGCCCTCCCTTCACAGTGAAGGAGCCCAGGTGGGGGTGCTGTGGCACAGAGGGCACAAAGAACATGCTCCGGGTGACACGGGGAGCTGATTACAGTCTGGGTACTTATCTCCTCCCCACTCATTCACAGACTTTCTAAAGGAAGGGTAGACAGATGTGGGAGGTGGGGACAGAAGTTTAAGACATACAAGGTCTCATCCCAACTGAACCAGTAACTCCCTGCATGGTCCTGGACAAGTCACTCCCCTTTCTGAATATCAGTTCTCCCACTGGTATTCAAAGGATTGAATTGAAAAGCTCTCACACATCACCCTCCAGGAGTGTGCAGTCTATAGGGACACTGTTTAATGACACAAGTGTGACAGCTGCCCAGATGCATATATTCTCCTTCCCATTCTCCCCCACCCCATTCCTTTTGATGGCTTCTTTACCTGTGGAAGGAATAGGCCCCCTTCCCATGTGCACTTACCTGGGCATACAGATTCTGCTGGGGATAGGCACTTCTGATTGGATACATGGCCGTCTGATAGGGATTTGGTGACGGGGAGTAAGGGGGCGGGGCAGTATTACTCTGGGTCGGTGGGACTTTGTATGGTGTCCCTGCAGTGTATCCTGTACCAATGCAATGAGAAAGACTTCCAATTAGTTGGCAGAAGAAAGGCAGCAGATCCCAGTCACAACCCCCCAGACCAGGAAGGGCTGAATCCAGGCTGGGAACACAGATGAGAACAGATGTAACAGGGGTGCACCCAGAAAGCCCTGAGAGGCAGCTCTCTCCTGGTACCGAGGGCTGCATGTGTGATTCTGGCCTCTTTTGCGTCTCTGGGTCAGGGCTCTCATCTATAAAATGAGGGGCTGGAACTAGATGATCTCTTAAAAGACTCCCTGCAGCACAACAGTCTGGGATTCTGAGCGCTGTGTGTGAGATATTTAGGCGCACAGTTGATGGGAGACTCAGAGGCTTGCTGTAAAAGCCTTTTCACTCCAGAGTATCTTCGGCCCCTTCTGTCCTGTTTTCCTCTTACCTTCTCCATTATTCTTGGAATTTTCTCCCTTTTAGAACTTCCATCTGCCATGTTTCCCTTCCTCCCTAAAACATCTCATTTTCTAAGTTGAAAACCTCAAATACCTCATTTTTCCGGGATGCTGAACAACTATGCTCTATAGAGCTGGTTTTTCCTCCTTAAGGGTTAAAGGAAACTCTCTCTGCCTCAGATCCAGGGATCACAGTTTCATATCAACCTGGAACCCAGGCCATTTTGGTACAACAGTTGGATAGTCAAAGGGTACGACTGGGGCTGAGCAGTCACACAGATCTGAATTGTCTGGAAGAGAGTCAGATCCCATGTTCTTATGAGAAATGTGAAACATGAATCAGGAACAAGACCATGTCCTTACATAATCACAAAATGGAATGATCCTATGGAACCCAAGTAACCATCAAATGACCCCTCAAAGTCTCCCTTTATAAAAGGGGATCCTCATCCAGCAGGCTCAGAAAAGGTAAGTCTTTTTAGAAACTTCTGAGTTGAAGGTAGGGGATCATGGCTTTAAGGGACAAAGTAGAGAGGTTTCTTTATGGGAAGAGAGGAGATCTGGTTTTTTACAATTTGTTGTGACTATTGCCAAGTCTCTGGGCCTTAAGTTTCTTATTTTATAAAATTAGAAAGCTAAGAATGAAGATCTCCTCCTGAAATAAAATTCTACCGTTGTTCTAGCTCCAAACAAAGCAAGCCATGCCAGCTCTGGTGTGGTGCTCCTGCCCTCTGAGGTATCTGTAGGATGAAAGCTGTTCAGTTGCCACAAAAGGCACCACAGGCAGGGGGTGTCCTGCCCCTCCACCTAAAATCATGTCATTTATCTTTCCACCTGTAGCTCCAATTTGCTACATAAGAAACTGATTTTGTGAACAAATATGCTTGGGAGAAAAGGATGCAGTGGAAAAAATACACCACTGAGAAGTTAGCACTGATAATAACTTGAAGCTAACTGGAAGTGGAGCTGGGAGTCAACTGGAGTAAGGGTCTAGAACAGGTCCCTCCAAGGTTCTCGACTATGGATCTAGTCACAAGATGTGGTCACAGGACAAGCAGACACTGGTTAGGCTGGAAAACATGTAAAAGGAGCCATCCAAGGGGTACTTCACCTCAGAGTCACAGTTTATTCATCTGTAAAAGAGGATACTCAAGATGGACATGTCCACAATGGACTAAGATCAAGGGATCATAATCACTTTGTCAAAAAAGAAAAAAAGTAGTAATGTAAAATAGAGATGAAAGGGCTTATTGTTCATTCCAAGACCCTAGAAGTTTAAAATGATAGGACAGACTGTGACTACCCAAGTTAGGGATATGCAGAAGACTATTTTAAAATTTTACCTTGGAATCTTTTTTGTATTCCAAATGGGAAAAGTACAGTGGTTTTGGTACCTTGTTTTTATCACTAAAAACACCTTGTTTTATAACTAAAGTTTCAGTAGCACCATCATGTCTACTCCTTTACATACTAGCTGGCTACTTTCCTGGGACAACAGTAGTTATGGCAGAGAACATATGGTGTGAAAAGCCTAAAACATTTATTACCTGGTCCTTTACAATGAAATTGTGCCAGCTCCCGATTTAAAAGATATGGGGAGCTTCGCAAGAGTGGAGAACATCTCTTTTTTTGTAAAGGAGGGCAGGACATCCCAGATCCCTAAGCTGCCTCTCTCTCAGAACTACCCACCACAGAGCAGTGGTTACTGTAGTATAGAGTAACACCAACTACCCAAGTCCAAACGCCAGGTCTGCTGCTTAATAGCACAGAACACACGAGTCTCCTCATCTGTAAAATGGGGATAACAATTCCCATTCACAATACTATCATGGTCTCCTATGGTAAGTACATTAGTTAGTATTTGCCAGCCAGACCCTTAGAATAGTGCCTGACACATTAAAAACAGTAACAGTTAGCTATCATTCTCTCTATTAAGTTTCTCCTCCTGGGGTGTGTAAGCAAAGACTGTTCTGATAGTTCAGACAACAACAGGTAGAAGTTTAGCTACAACTTCTATGGTATAGTCCAACTTGGAACATAGACCCCAGGATTCTAAGATTCTAAAATTTTATGGTTTCAAATGTTATCATTTGTGCTTGTTTAAAGTTAGCAAGCCAACAATACTGGCAACTTATCTTTATGCCTCCCAAGAATGTGCTCTAGAATTTTCCTCCCCTGGGGAAGCCGTTAATACCCACTCTGTGCCATCTTACAAAGTGCTGCAGTGATCTCTCTGCAGAAAATCAAAAGGCTCCGAGAGACTGCAGAATTTGTTTTCCACATCTAAGAATAGACGTCTGAGATGGCTTCCCTTTAGTTATGAAATGAGACACACAGGTACTCAGAATACAAATCAATAGTTAGAATACCCCTGGCAGCTGAAAAGATGCTATTGCAGGTTTTGTTTGTCAAGACAGTTTGAGCAGGAAGAAGCAGGACTGCAGAGTGAGAGAACGTAATAATTATAAAGACCAATACAAATGTTCACAGGTACTGACAAGAAAGAGGAGAGAGGGGGGCAGGTTTGTGTTGGGAGAAAGCTGCTGAGGGCCCTTCCTTTAACTATAGTAGGTCCTCGAAGTTGTTATGTGTGTCAGGAGGCAGCAAACTGCCTCTGGGAGGGAGTCATATCAGTTGTCTGAAAGAATAGCCTTATCTAGAGTAGAAAAACTCATAGGGTCTCTTGAGTGCTAACAGAAGTTCCAAGAAGTGTTTCAGTAAACTTTTATGAAGAAAGCATTGTTGACGATTCTACAACTCACTGGTAGTCCTGTCCATACCCTTAAGGATCATGGGAATTCCCCTGGGGCTATAGCCTTGGCTACCCTGGATATCACGAAATTCTGGATTCATTACTTTGGTCAAATAAGTAAAAGGAACTACTCAATTTGATGCAAAAAAACAAAACTCATGAGTTTTGCTCTAAAGAACTTTAGATTCAACTCACTGAAGGCCTGGCACTCCTGAAAGGAGTTGTACCTAAGTCTGAAGGTCACAGAATTAGGACTTTGGAATGTCCTGAAGGACGCTATATTCAACTCTCTCCATTTAATATAAAGAATCTAGAACACAGAGGGGCCAAAACTTTCCCAAAATGGCACAGTATAATCAGTGCAGAGCTGGGCCCAGATTCAGGGCTTAACCTGCCCCAGGCAGTGTTCCTCCCCGAGTTATAGGTCTCAGTAGTGCAATCTTAAGTATCTCGTATATTGGCCTTTGTATCCCCACTTTGCTAAGAGCAATAATGAGAGAAAAAAAGAATTTGATCACTACAAGCACCAGCTCTGTCTTATGAAAAAGGCTTTGTTTATGATACCCTGTCTATTCTCTCAGGTTCCTAACCGTGACTGTAGGCTCTGTCAAAAAGGAGAACAGAGTATGTACACTAGCAAAATGAAACCTTTTCAGTTCTCTCTTCAGTTCTTTGCACTGTCATAAATCTTTTTCTGTTGTAGAGCCCCGACCACCTCCAAAGGCATTGATCCTCACATCAAGGATGCCTTTTAGACTAATCGGTTTATTGACCACCAGATTTATATGTCTGGACAAGGCTCTATGTCTCATTCTTGCCTTGACCCCTAAGTCTCCTTGTAGCAGAAGATGACAACACTGAATAAATAGCAGGGAGACTTAATAACAAACAGGCTTACCAAGTGCTGGTGAAACTGAACTGAATTTGTCAAAGTGCCCTGAATTTTCTGTGGCATTATAAGTCAAAGTGTATGCTGGGATGAACCCTTGTGTGTGTGTTTGGGAGGAGGGGGGGAGGGGGTGGTCAATCCCACCTATATTTTAAAAGGTACACAGGTTATTTACATGACTTGTTTACAGAGAAGAAGTACATTTTGATCCTTTACAAGGACTGTGCTGGCCTGTGAGGACAGTGGAATGTTAATTACTAGACATTTCAGTGGGATTTAAGGAAAAATTGAATACAGTAGAAGGTAAGACCTTCTAATACCCAGACATCCTTCCCACGGAAAGGTTGCTCTAGAAGGAATGAGTACCCAATACCTGGAGACATGTGAGAGAGAAGGTGGAGAGAAGGTCACTCCTGGGGTGCAGATTATTGGATGCATATGTCCAGGGTGACAGAATCAAAGTCTAATTGCTACAGAGAACCTGAAAGATGACCTAGTCTAATCTTCTCACTTTAGAGTTGAAAAAAACCAAGGTCCAAAGCTTGGATATAAATCATCCGAGTTTAAGTCTAGAACCCAACTCTTCGGGCGTTCACTGCAGCCCTCTATTACAATACAGTAGGTGTCTGCATGTAGCTGCATCCATATGTGTAACTTAAGGAAAACTGTATGTATAGATCTGTTTCATATGTCATATATGCTCATCCAGTTCCACCTGAGATACTATTGCTGCCATCCCTCCTTCAAAATAGTAAAATTAATCTCATGAAAAAGTCAGTAATAGAAACTTATCCTGGGGGATATTTTTTCTAGTTGTGCTGTCAAGTAGTTGGATGGCACTGGGCACCAGTGCCATCTGAGTCTCAGTCTGCAAACTGCCTTTCTGAGTCTCAGTCTGCAAACTGCAGTAAAAATACACTCAAATAGCTGGAAAGGATTATACTAAGTGAGTTAAGGAGAAAGGAAAGTATTGAATGATTTCACTTATAGGTGGAATACAGGGAAACCAGATAAAGGGTCAGGAAAAAGACTCGAAAGATGACCACAGATTAGAGGCACACAGAGCGGGGAGGGGGAGACGCACAGGGACTGTGGTGATGGATCATGGGTGCGGTGGTGGTGGGCAAACTACTGGGACTACACCTGAGGGGAGAAATCAAATGTACAAAAACAATGATGTGAGGAAACTAATTTTTTAAAAATCCACTCAAATAATAGGGATATACTACAGATTGAATGAGTAAATATGAAAGCTTATTTCCAAAAAGATTAAAGTTATGTTGTATAAACATAAGGTGATGTTGACATCTGAGGTCTTGATAACTAGGGAGAGAATAACTGAGTATTTTCAAGAAAAGAAAAAAAAATACAATGTGACCTTCTGCTCAGTCAATAAATAATTCGTGGAAACAGACTATCAGACCTAGTTTGCAGTCCTCCTCCTGGGGCCAGTCCGGACCCTGCTGCCACAACTTAGACAGTGCTCACCACATTCAGTGTCAGTCATTCCTCCTCTGGACAGCTCTAACAAGTCACAGTATTCTTTAGAAGGTGTCAAAATGCCACTCAATGATTTTTAAACATCAGTCCTCACTTAATCCAGTAAAGCAACTTTGTGTTAAAAATCGGATGTGAAGGTGAAACCAGTGGTCACCCAATGACCCTCAACCTTAAGTGAGGTGACCAATCTCTTTGAGCAGATGCTGTCTGTCTGGCCTGAGCCCTCACAGTGTAGCTTCCACAAGGGCAGTGTTTCCTATATGGGTGCCCTCCCCAAGTTGCTCCCTATACAAGACATTTTAACATTGTTAAAAATCCTTGTAGGGAGAGATATTTAACAATGTTTTAAAGACATTTTGGCTGTCCTAATGAGGGTGTGCTACTGGCACCCAGCCGGTTGAGGCTATGCTTGCTGCAATGCGCAGGACAGCCCCCCAAACCAAGAATTATCTAGTCCAGATGTCTACAGTACCGAGATTGAGAACACCTGTGCTTGTTGAAGGAAACCCTTTCTCAAGGGCCTTCAAATATACCATCTGTCCTTCTTTTTAAAATAATTTAAAATTAACAGTCCTTAATCTAATTTGTTAACCAGGTGAGTACTCCATTCCCTAAAGACTGTCCAAAGCAGATGAATGATTAGAGGATGACCTTTCCTGTATGAGGAGGGAGAATTTTTTTGCATGGGCAGGAGAATCTCTTAAAATAGTATCTTATACAATTTTTTAAGTCCCCTTTCCTTTTTTCCTAAGACACAAATCAGTCCCAACTAAGGGGAACAGGAAGGGAGGAGACAGGCTGTATTTACTGAAAGCCGCAGAGGATGCTTGGTAAGTTCGGTTCTCGGTCCCGGTGTCCACTGGGAGGTGGAAGGTGCCTTCAGTGCCACAGGAAGACGAGTTCTGTGGCCAGGCCTGTTTCATCAGCAGTGTTGCTTAAGGGAAGACACAAGAATGGCATTAGGCAGAAATAAGAAGTAGGCACCACCAATCACAGACAAAAAGCAAGGGTCTTGGGCTAGACAGACACACATACCCAAGGGGCCCTGTTCAGACAAACAGGATGATTTAGCCTTCCTTTTTGCAATGGGTGAGTTGCGGGGTGGAGCACTTAAGTGAGCTGCCAAATGATATGAAACCAAGGGAACCTGAGCTTATGCACAGAATCACAATTTTCTATCTACCAGTAGAATCATGAAGATGCTGCTTCCTACTGCCTGATAATCTATTCTGGATGTTCCTGAATCGCTTTCTCATTAGTATGTACCAACTTGGAGCCCCTGACTGTGGCAGTATCAGATCAAATGAGTATTGATTCTTTCTTTATGTCAGTAATCTCATCTGAAGGTGTATTTAATGAGTACTTTCAAACAGAGACCCCCCAAATAACCGCTACATGACATGACCCTTGATGGACAGGCATGATGTCCAAAGGGAGGGCTGAGCTCTGGCTGCCCAAGGGGCACACACTGCCCCGGAGGCGAACCCCTCCTAACTCCTCTGGCCCACCCAGCCGGGGATGGACAGGCCTCTTACATATCCTTTATGTCTCTGGCTGAGGCGCTCACGGTGTCCCACCCAAGAAACTGTCTCATGAACTAGAGAGGACCTCTGGGTCATTAGAAAAGTATAAGTGTTAAAGTTGGGGGATAGAGATGAAGCCAATCTGGAATATGCAGCGACTTCCCGGCTGACTCGAAGCTCAGCTTGAGTTATATGAAGGATGATACGTTCTATGTTCTAGAAGGAAGGGAGTAACTAAAAAAAAAAACAAAACAAAAACAAAAAAACTTACCTTCATGGTATCCTGTGGGGAAGGAGAGAGGAAATAGGGTTTCAAAGTGGGGAAATGCCTAACTTTTTAGATATTTCCCTTGACATACTTACAAACACTAGAGGAAAAATGTTCTTGACCCAAATTTCTACTTTGAGTAAAAAAGAATGGTCTTAACAGTGTTTTTTCCAATTAAAATCTTGAGAGTAGTGGATATGGGATGTTCCAAAGTATATTAGCAGGAGGTGGAGCTGTACTAGCAACTGACAGATATGTCTGAAATATTTTAACAAGGGGCTACAAGTATGAGAAGAAAATTTGCCTAAAAGCTCTAATTCCATGAGGATGAGCACAGTCCGCCTTTAGAGAGCCCCCAAAACCTCCACTGCCCATCCAGGCTCACGGATGTCTCTGGTCCCTTCAGGCTTTGAGTACAGAGGTCAGAGAAGGAGGTCAAGGCCTATGTATGCTGTTTTGGCTGGCCCAAGGCTAGATGTTAGCTGTTTTGGGCTGACCCTGCACTTGCATTAATGGCCCGCAATATTTACAGCAGATGCTGCGAAATGAGAAGGAAATCATGGGCAGGAAAGTGACACTAAAAGGAGAATTCTGGCAGAAGAAATGGAAACCCAGCAGAACACCATGCACAGTCCACGGCTTTTTAAACATCAAGACATGTCTTGATGCAGGAGGAGAGGAATCAGTTTGAAACAATTATCTTGGGTTTCTCCCTGGGGATTAATAAAGTATTAATCCAATTAGTATTGAGAAGTCTTACCAAAATATCTCTAAATTTAGAACTGTCGCTCCACGTGGCTGGAAAACCCTGACCACTCAAAATAGCTCCCTCAAAAGTGAAACATACAGCTCTGAGAAGTCAGACAGAGCCAATGCATGTCCTCAAGACCCCACAGGGGCTCCACCAGGGCACCGCGACCTGAATTTGGCTGCTGAGGATCTGGAGAATTTGGAGGTTCTGGTCTGGTCTAGTTTTTCTCCCCAAGTGGTACATACCTTACCATAATCATAAACCAAGTCTGACATTAGCCTGAAGGGCTGTGTGACACCTGAAGTAAGTGAATCAAAATTAACCAAGAAGTGACTGAGGCCCACACTGTGCTCAGTGTTGAGGGGAGGGCACGGTGGACAGAACACACGTGGGTCATGGTCACTGCACACAAGGTACTTATGATCTAGCTGGGGATGCAACACAGCCACACGCCAACCGGAGAGTGAACAAGACAGCATTACATACAAGAAAGTGACATTCCAGAGTAAGCAGGAAAGAAGCAAGTGCGACTGTGCCTTGTATTGTTTTGCCACTGACAAGATGAACTAAACTATATGTTCCTGAAGAAATGGGTATTGCCTCTGGTTTCATTATAGGAAAGCAAATGTTAATAATTTCTACATTATCTGTATATTTGGATACTTACTAATTTAAATAACTGAATAAATATGAATACTAAAAACAAAAACAACAGATACTAGCAGTCAACTTGACTGACTTTCATGTTAGATGCTATATGAATCTTCTTCTTCCAGGTACAACTCTAAAGCAACCCGTTCTGTGAAGTAATCATGCACAGTGCTGTCATAGGGTGAAGACAACCCAGTTGAAGCTTTGGGAAAACTGGTGAAAGAGGAAGCTGCTCTGACAGGCATGTCTGCTCTTGGGTACCTTGAAGGGTACCAACTCCTAGAAATGTTTTCTGGTTTGAACTGGGTGATAGTTAAATACAAGTATATCCATGTGTTATTAAGTTGTACATTTGAAATTAGAATACTAGTGTATGTACTAGTACTAGTTTATGTACTACCACTTTATGTACTCGATGTGTTTACCTCAATTTAAAAAGGATAGAGAGAGGAAGAAAAAATGAGAACCCTTGGCAGTGAGGGGCCATGGCCCAGTCACAGCATGCTGCCCGTATCCAGGTGCTGGGTTGTTCACTTCCCTGGACACTGGATTCAGGGCCCTCATGCCCTCCAACACTTGAACAGTATGTTAAGCACACAAGGAGGAGAGGCAGCAAGGGACCATCACCCTGAACAATATATTAAGCAAGATATCTGAGTTCTAGCCTGGGCTCTGCCACTTACTAGTTGTGAGACCTTGGGCAAGTCACTGAACCTTTCAAAGCTTCAGTTTTGATGTCTCATAAAATGCCAGAATAGTAATCATGCCCGTAGCATTTCACAACACTAAGGTGAGGATCATTAAAGTGTCCCCCAGTCTTAGTTTCTAATCCTGATATCTGTCCACCCTTCTATCCCCATAGTGTGGACAGCTCTCGTCAAATCTCGTTGAGTTTCCCCTAAATTACTGCACTTCCTCATTACTCTGCTTTTAAATCTGCCAGTTCCAGTCTGTAAGCTGCAATCAGAGTGCTATTTCTAAGACATAGCCACAAAACTGTCTTCCTTAAAAACATCCCATGGCTCTCCATTGCTAAGTTCAGCTAACGACTGAATTCCTGTGTGGCACTTAAGGCTCCTTACAATCTACTCCCGGGATCTCTACACTCTTAATTGCTCTCTCTCTCCAACCCCAGGTCCAGTACAGCCACAGATAAACTTTATCATTCCCAGGAAGCGTCCCATCTCTGTATTCTTGCTCATTCTTCCTTGGCATGTCTACCCCAATGCCACCTGGAAGACACTGACACATCAGTCATGAGTGGAAGGTTTGTCTCTACTATGAAGTCTCCTCGACACAGGCCTCTTATATATCCCACACAGTTCACTATTGCAGTCACTGTGATTCTTATTGCTGGCTTGCCTATCTTCCCCACTAAACTGTGAGCAGGGGCTCTTTCTTACTGGTTGTTGTGTCTTCAAAGTCTAGCTTAGGCCTGGCACATAACATTTTGTGAAGAGTTCTAAATACACAATTTAGTGTTTCCATTTCAGATGCTATGAGTGAAGGGGTGAGGAAACATGAGAGCATCTCTCAGTTTTTAAGGAGTCTTTTGATCAAGTTCAGATATCCTGAGGCAAACAAAAAACTACTCTCTATAAATAAGAGAAACAGGCCTGTGGCTAGAAAAACTAAAATTATAAAAGAGGACGGGCTATGGAATTTAAAGGGACCTCTGAGATCATCTAGAATGAAGTACTTTATCACCTGGAAACATAAGCAAATTGCCCAAGATCACACAGCCCATAGCAATGGCAAGGAAAAATTTTCACAGCTCATCTCCTGAAAGATGTGCTACACACAAATTCAATTTCCAGTATCCATACAATTCAAGGTTTGAAGTTGAGAAAGTGTGCAAATATTTTAAGAAAACATTGTCCTGTGCAGCCCAGGTAAGGGTGGTAACAAGGCAAGTCCTTCCCATGGTCCCTTCCTGTCTATGACAAAAAGAACCTAGTCAAGTTACGCTGCTAGGGCCCTCACAGGTGCCTACAAGTTCCTGTGGTGCTTTGGGCCTGGAGTCCACACTGCCCAGAGAATCCAGTTCTGGTCCCTTGCTCAGTAACACATGTGGCTCACACTGCTCACCATTCAGGAAAATGCCCTGAAAATGGGCCAGAGCTCAAGATATGGGCTAAGGGGAACAGACTACCTAACGTTAGCCAGGTCTTCAAACATGTCAGACTGCTGATGGAGAAGGAAAATCTGATGCTGGGGCAGACAGTTTTATTTTTATTTATTTACTTTTTTGGTTCTTATAAGAACAATTCAGGTCCTCCTCCACAGGGGTGCCACAATGCCATCAGAGGAGCCATCCACAGGTCCAGAAATTTTTGTTCACTTGTTTGAATTCAGTAGCCAGGTTAGGGTAGAAGTTTCTGACCTAGGTCAGATAGGGACCCCAGAGGTAAGAAAGAGGACAGACGCCTTTTAGTGCCATGATCCTTCACTGCTGCCCTAGGGGACGGTTCACGTGTGTCTCCAACCCATGATTTTGCACCATCAGACATGTTCCTGCATGCTTTAGGAACTGCTGCTGAGCCACCTGGGGGGAGCCCAAGCCTAGGGGATGGGATTTGGGGAGGAAGGAAGAGAGGAATCTACTGTTGTTACAAGAAAACACATTTATAGGCCATAATACAGATGAGGAAAAATAGCTCTCCTACCATAAGCTGAATGCAGGAACTGAAACTCTGTTGGATAGAAACGTTAGTTGAAATTACCACTAAGAATTTGTGCAAAGTAGTATACATTGCAGTTACAAAAACAGACTTGTCTCAAGATAGCAGTTTCCCCCAGGTTACACAAGAAACAATGACAGTAGAGGGTGCAAAGTGTTGCTACTCTGGAGGGGTGTGACAGACTTGCCATCCAGGAAATCCCATTCATTGAGCAAGGGCACCACCTCGAAGCCATGGCATCTTCCAGGCAATTCCAGCACTGCCTGGAGGTGAGCAATTCCAAGATCCCACTCTTTGCCTACCCATGAAAAGAAATTCAATTCTCCCAGGTACTACAGAGGGATTTCACACATGACAGGCGTTATGTATGAACCGAAGTGAAAGTTGAGGGACTAAGTCATCATCTTTGGCCTCTGAAGACTTTCTGTGGAGCCCCAGAGCACTAGGATCAATGCAGAGGTATTTCATTCCCTGAAACTTCTAGGAGAGTACAGTGCTTAAAAACTTACAGGCTGTGAGTTTTTTTTTAAAGGTTTGAATTGCAATGTCACTGCTTTTTAACTATGTAGCTTTGGATAAGTTACTTAATCTCTCTGAGAAAACTGGAGGCAAAAAAAGCTCCAGCTCACAAGACTAAGGACAAATGTTTTTGTGACATGCCTTGCAGTGGTGCTTGGAACATGGCAGGCATTAAGGAAATACATCTTCTTAAGGAAATACATCTCCTGCCTTTCTCCAAGCATATGCAAAATGGACATAATATATCTGTGCTGCATAAGGCTGCTGTGAAATCAAGTGAGACAACAGATGAAAATTATGTGTAAACAGATTTCTTGTGAGAAGGCATTTTTATAATTTTCAAATTTCTTCATTTCCAAGTCATATTATCATTAATATGGCAGTTTAATGCCACATTGCTCCCCAGATTCAGAAAACAAACCTCATTTGGCTCCTAGCCTTCTATGGAGCTAAAGAGTTCTTAAATAAATTATTGAAATTATTGAGAGCTTGGAAAAAGCTCCAAGCACCCACATTACTTTCAGAACCAAGGAAAGGGTGAAATCTTTCCCTGTATCCCAGGCAGATGACATCTCAGGGTACACAGAACTGTTAAAAATAACTCTGAAGCAACTTCTTGGTCTCCTTGAAGAAGCTGAAATTTAAACCTGAGAGCCTGGCTCTTTTACAGATAACAACCCTGCAGTCATCTGCTAGCATCACAAACAGCTAGTCCTGGCAGGAGAGAACCTACACTGTCCTCTGTCCAAGAGCCGGCCCCTCCCCGCAGAAGCTCCCGCTGCAGTCAGGAGACCCGGCAAATGCAGAGGCCAGTCTCGGCCACGTGACAGACAGACCAGCAGAGAGCTCGCACTCATGCACGTGCGTGCGTGTGTTTGCTGTCATGTAGCTCAAAAGGCAAGGAGGTGTGCCCAAGGTCACATCACAGTCAGCGGCAGAGTTAATGCCTCCACCCCAGTCTTCCAACAACCAGTTTGGGGTTTTCTGACACAAATGCACCCCTGCCATCCTCCCTCCTTATATCATATGGGTTTCTGAGAAAATGGCCTGAGTTGACACAGACATTAACTTTAGAAATAGGATTTTTCAAGACACATAACTAGAGAAAAATCAACTTAGATGAAGGTTATTTTATTTTTAAATTAAAACTTAATCAGAACTTTATACATTCCAGGAGCTTTCCACATCAAAGTCTCGGGTTCTTCTTGTCTGCTCTACCTTCCCTCTCTAGTCTGGTCGCTCTAATCTAGACCTTAATTTTTTCTGGCCAACTGCAACTTTAATATAGTGAATATGGGTGTTGTGGCAGGATGCTTACATTTGGATGCTTGGGCTAGTTTCCTATCTAAATTTTAATTTTCCCAGTCATAAAATGGGATAACAACACTGACCTCAAAGGCTTACGGTGATATAAAACTATGAAGAACTTAAAATAGTTTTGCCACATAGGAACCATTCAGCAATATTTATTCCCTGTCCTTCCACTTTCTTAACAAACTAATCCGAAAGCAATTCCACAATATATCACTAGGAGTTCTGAACATTAAGAGAAAACATCCCAGGACTGGGAATTAGAGCCCTGACAGATTCACAGCCTCCAGCCTCAGCGTGATAGTTAAGCAGCTCTCTTATCTGGGGGTAGTTTCCTCTCTGGCTCCTAATGTAACAGAGTGGTCCCCAGGAAAAGGGGAGGTTCCAGGTTCCCTGCCCCACTCAAAAGAGGGTGGAGCTGAGCAGGGAGAGAAGAATCTAGAGAGGAGACTGAGGAGGAAGGAAGCAGGATGGAGAGACAGAAGGTGACCTGAGGGAGCCACATGGAGCAGAGAGACATGTGAAGAAGCAGCTCTTATTTTAGACCCTGAACTGATTGAAACAGATGCAGATGAGAGACCTGTAGGGAGGTTAACAATGGCACCGTTTATCTTGATTTAGTTTTTGCTCTTTTCCTCCCACACTTGTCTGGCCATGTCTGACCCTTTTCTATGGGGTCCTGTTGGAAAGAGCTTTAGCCTTGTGATGGGCTTCAGGCCTTGCTTGGGTCAATCCCTTTTGGGTAGACTTTTACCCACAAGGGTATGGGTAACTTGATTTAGAAACTATATTCTTTATCTTTTCTGTACTGCGCACTAATTGTATTAAAGTTCCTTTCCATTAAAGGGCTTCTATGTTTTGTCTTGATTCAGCAGATGGCAGAACCTATTTAGAGTAGGCAAGTTTGCAGTTCGGGGTGCCCTTCTCCCTGCCCTGTAACATTTCCAGTGAGGCTTTAACACCTTGCCCTCACTCCTTAAGACCCCTCCTTTACTTCTGCTGACCTTTGTTTCAGCAAATCAAGATCAGTAGACAAGCACTCTCCACCTTCCACCAGGCAATGTATTCTAAGCACATCCTTTAGACTGAGAGGAAGAGCTGTGTGAGGCATGTGAGAGGCACCTCACCCCACTTGCTTCCCCAGGAATCTCACATCTATGCTGGGGATTTCATACCCAATACAGTCTCCTCGAGGCCTGGCTCCATCTGGGAACTCTTCTCCCCTTTTGTCCTCTCCACTTGCTCCACCTCACAAGGCTCATTTCAGAAACAACAACAGTAACACCAACAAACTCTTTTAACCCAACTTCCCTTCTAGTCAACACCCTCCTGTTCACCTTTCTTGGTACCAGGCCTCTTTTAAGAGCAGGTTCTATCTGCTAAATATGGTTCCCAAACCCACCACCTCCAGAGTTAGTTTCCATGGAGGTCACTGAAGACCTCCTGACTATAAAGACAATACCTCTGCTCACTCCTGATCTCACCTGACCTTCACCTCATTTTGTTTGACCGATACTTGTCAATTTATAGATCTCATAGCATCTAGATTTAAGTAATTTCTATCATGAGATACTTGATAATCAAGATCACTATTGTTTTCAAGACAACTTACCAAATTTAAGTCTTTTTATCAGAAAGAATTTCTGTAGTTTTTATTGATTCTGCTTCCTAACTACAGGTTTTTAAAATATATATATCTTACTGACTGAAGGTGAATATAGAATAAAATATAAACACAGAGGTACTACTATAGGCTTCTTAGCCTGTGTGTCTCTGCTCAACTCACACATTTTTTCAGGGTTGTATTGTAACTTCCTCAAGTTTGAAACACCTAATGTATATTCCAGAGTGCCTTGGGCTCAGCATGGACAAATAATGTTTGAAGTGACACAGCTGTGTGAGCACTTGAAGGGTTAAAACACTTGCACAAAGCAGTTCTTTAAAAAAAATGATATTTATTTATTTATGCATATAAGAACTGGGGGTACAGGCCAGAGGTATAAGGAATGAGAGGATTCATCAGAATATGGGCAGCAGAACAGGTGGATCTACTGAAACGCATAGCTGAGAGGAACAGTGGGCTAGGCAGGAGGGGTTAAGTCAGGAGCGGTCTGCTGTCCATATGGGCCAGCTCACCAGCTGCCAGCTGGGGACTGAACTCATGCTGTCAGGACTGAACTCATGCAGACAACAGCTTGATAGCACTGAGATTTTTAACCCCTGTATCACCAGGAAGGTCCACAAAATAGTTCTTATTTGCAAAAATGGGGCTGTCTGATATCATGGGGTGTGTGTATATGTGTGACTATGCTATTATTTCTACTCTAGAGAAGGATATTTGAGATTCAGAGACATCAAGTGACTTTAAGGATGTAACTTAGAAAGTGAGAGAGTTAGGACTCAAGCACAGGTCTTCAGACATAACCCATGTTATGAAAGAGAATGGCAATCGAATGAATACTAGACAGGCACAGAAAAACATGAGACCAGGTGCTAGGAGATCTGCCAAGGGTTCTAGTCCATATGCTGTTACTGGTTCACTAGGTAACTGAGACAATACATTGCTTCTCTCTGGATCTCCCTTATCAAAAAAAGGCATTGAACTGGAGGCTCTCTGAGGTTTTTCCAAGCTCTCTTAACTCTAAATAATAATTAGTAAATACAAAAACTGGGCTATTGTTATGGCATTCAAGGCCTTTCCAAATCTGTACAAATCCCCTTGCACATCGGTAGCTAAGATTAATTAAAGCATTCCCAATGGTTTATGCTTTAACCATTGCTACTATTTCTAGGTTCCTCACAGTGTCAAATCCTCACATTGTTCTGTCTTTGCCCAGGTGCCCAACTCCTCCTCTGTGTCTCCTACTTTTTCTGTGTCTATCGCCAGGGCCCTCAGTGAAGTGTACCCCAGACTTCTGAACTCAGACTGTTGATTCCCTTTCTACTTCCTCTCCTCTTAGATGTATTCTTTTTATAATATTTATTATACTGTACCACAATTAATTTGCTTACATGATAGCCCTGAATGAACTGTAAGCTACTTCCCCTAGGATACTCTTTTCTTTAATTCTAGTGTGGAAAATATTCACCAAAATACTTGATAAATGAAGCAGAACTTGTATAAAATGATCTACAACCCTGAGGTAGACAGTGTATTTCTTAGAGAGATGAGGTAACTAGTGAGTTGAATCATCAGGATTCAAACCCAGGACTTTCTCCCAGTCCTTGAGTGTAAAAGGACCAATTAAGTTGGGGGTTAAGATCAGTAATAAAACCTCTGTATTGTTCCTAGTACAGATTAGAACAAACTTTTCCAACATTTTTACACCTATGTCAACCTCTTCCAAGGAATATTAGGTCTACATCATATTTGAAAAGCAAGTTTCTTGCCTTAGCTTAAAAACAGTTCTTTATTCTCTGGTGGCAAGTCCTTCACATTTTCCAACTTTACACCCAGAAGAGTGTGTGTGTATGTAACAGATTCAAGGAAAAATGAACAAATGTTCATTTCTCCCAAAGAATTGTTTGGGAGAATAAAAGGTTCTGTGAGGAAGATGCATGTCTCAGACAGTTCAGCAAAGGAAAGACAGGTCAACTTTAAGTCCCAAGAACAGGGAGAAGATTCTACCCCCAACCCCCACTGTGAGGCTTAACAGCCTTCATTCCCAGAGGGAATTTACAGGATAATCAGGCCTGGACAGGATGAGCCCAGAGGGATTTAAGAACCCAGCAAAGTGAGCAGGTAGGTTTGTCTTTCCAAATACAGTCCAACTTCCCACTCCACCCACCACTGTTGTCTCTATTTCCGCCTTACCTGGAGCATAACTGGGGCTGTTGGTGGGATACAGGCTGGGATTGTAGGCAGGGGCCGCTGCTGGGTAGGCTGTGGGATAACCTATGAAGAAACAAAAATGTCCCATTTAAACAGACAAAAGCAAGCAAGCTTCTTAGGAAAAACAATCAATGTCCCTTCAAGTCTTGGCCTTCAAGTCTCTTTCTTCCTAGGCCATTTTATAGAGTATATGAACCAGCCTTTAAAATTACTTATTATTTTTTTTAATGAATACAAGATCTGGGTGTAGACCAGAGGTGTGGGGGGTGGGGGTGGGGGAGCTAGAGAATTCACAAGAGATACCAGATTCACCAGAGTGGGAAACAGAGCAGGAGGATCTACTGAAATACACTGCTGAAGGGAACAGTGGGTGAGGCAGGAGCAGTCTGCTGTGCCAAGTTTGTTCCCTAGCCAGAGAGAGATCTCATGCCCCAGTGGCTGAGGATTGCTAGATAGCACTGAGACTGTCTAACCCCTTGCACCACCAAAGAGATCTGTAACCACCTTTTTAGCCTTTTAAGAAAAGCCACCAATACCACAACATATACATATTTCTCAGTCTTCAGAAAGCAGTACAAGAAAGGTCTATATGCTCACTGGAAAAAAAAAAAAAAAAACCTGGAACAATATGCAGTAGACAATACTAAAAAGTGTAAGTTTATTTTCACAACCTGCCATAAAACTACTCTCCTCCTCAAAGGTAGTAACAGTTTGAATCTCCCTCAAAATAGCTTTCTATGCAATAAGCTGATATGCTGAGAAATACTGAAAACTGTCTCCAGGGGACTGAGGTGAAGCCTTATTTGTAATCTCTGTCAAGTCCCATAGTGTAAATACACCCACCTTGGCCAATTTCAACCTACCAACATCAGTGAATGCGTAGCTAGAACAGGCTCACAATTGGCTCAAGAAAGGTTGCATGGTTCAAATCCAGCCCAAAACTTATTATGACAGAGATGGCTTGGGGTGGGGGTGGGGGGCGGACACACATTTTTTGCTGTGGTTACATTCATATTGCACAACCATCCCTGCTATCTGTTTCTATGACTTTTTAATCACCCTGAACAGAACTTCATCCCTTATATTAAGCAATAATATCCCATATTCCTTCTCTCTATTAACCTCTAGTCTACTTTGCCTCTATGAATTTGCCAAATCTAGATATAAGTGGAAACACAGACCATCCTTTTTACTTAATCTTAAGAGAGAAGACAATTACAATGTAGGCCATGTTAAAATGCAAGAAAAATCCCAAATAAAATACAAAATATCACACTTTCTAAAGCTACTTGAAAAGGAGGAACAAATATAACCTATAGTAGAAGGAAGCAATAAAAATAAGAATGGAAATAAATGAAACCGATTGAAGAGACTATTTTAAAAAGTCAATAAAACCAAAAGCTAGTACTTCGAGAATATAAACCAAATAGATAACCCCCTAGCTAGGCTAACAACAAAAAGTAGAGGAAAAATATTAACAGAATCACAAATAAAAGAGTGTTCAGTATAGATAGCAAAGGACCACAAAAAGATTTCTATAAATGACTACATCCCAATAAATTTGAAAATCTTGAAGAAACGTTAAATTTCTAAATCAACATCTACCAAGACTAAACAAGAAAGAAAAAGATGAACTGAACAAGCCAATCACAAACATGGAAACCAAAACAGTAATAATAATAATAGTAATAATAAAACTTAAAAAAAAAAAAGCCCAGGACCAGATGGCTTTACAAATTTTACCAAACTTCTAAAGAACTAATTAATCCCCACCTTGCTCAAATTGATTTTTAAAATAGAGGAATCCTCTCTAATACATTTTATGATGCCAACATTACCTTAATACTGAAATGAGAACAAAGCCTGCACAAGAAAAAAATTACAGAGCAATATCCTTGATCAACACATCAATGTAAAATTTTCAACAAAATGCTGGCAAATCTAATTCAATACTATTTCACAAGGATTATACACTAATTAAATGGGATTTACAAAGATGCAAAGATTGTTTAATATGCATAAATTAATTGTAATATACCCTTTCAACAAAAGATAAAAGTCATAGGATAACATTAAGATGTAGAGAACGTAGTCAATAAAATTCAACACTCACTTATGATAAAAACTCTAAATAAGACAGGAGTAGAATAAGACCACATATTACAATGCAATAGTCAACAGAATACTCAATAGTGAAAGTTTTCCTCATAAGATCTGGCACAAGACAAGAATGTTGTCATTTAACTTAGTATTAAAGATTTTGGCCAGAGCTGTTAGGCAAACACAGAATAAAGGGAATCCAATTAGGAAAGGAGGAAGCAGACTATATGATATGTATAGCATATTCTAGACTTCATAAAAACTGTTAGAAATAATAAATGAACACAGCTATAGAACATACGGAAACTCATAGCTTTTATACATACAAACAACAAAGAAGCACAAGAAATTAAGAAAATAACTAATTATAATTAAATACCTCAATCAAATTAACAAAAGAGTTAAAAGATCTAAAGACATTATTGAAAGGACATGGAAGGATATCACATCACATGGATGGGGTAATCAGTAAAATCAAAGTGACTATTTTGCCTAAATGATATACAAATATACACAATCCCCATCAAAATCCCAGCAAAATATTTTTAAGAGCCTGAACAAAAAAATTAAATTAATGTGGTACCACAAAAGTGACCTTTAGAAAAAAGAGAAATGGAAAAGGAGAAAAGTGAAATTACTTGACTTCTAACTTTACTGTAAAGCAAAAGTATTAAAAACAATATGGTATGACACAACCACAGATATATAGACCAGTGGAACAGAATCAAAAGTCCATAAATAAATCCATGCATATACCAGCACCTAATCTATGATAAAACACCTCTGGCCACAAAAAGGGGTAAAATATAGTCTTTTTAACAAATAGTGTGGGGGGGAATTGGCAAATTACCCCTAGAGAATGAAATTGGATTATTCACTAACACCAAACACAGAAATAAATTCCAAACAGAATTTGGAATTATTACAACAATAAAATATATAGAAGTCAACTTTGATAATACATTCCACCAAATCATCAATAAAGACATTTTTGGTGGGTCAGGCAACATGGCAAGAAAATTTAAAACAAAAACAATTGGGATAACCTCAAGTTAAAAGCTTCAATACAACAAACAAAATAAAAAGTGATTAAATATACACCATAGTGAATAGGCAAAAAATATTTATGCAATATAACTGATAAGAATAAACAAATATATTTAAAGCTCATACAATTCAACAATTAAAAAGATAACCCAAAAGAGCAGTAGATAATGGATAATTCTCTAAAGAGGATTGAAAGCCAAAACTAAGAAATTGTTCACCGTCACTCCTAATAAGAGAGATGCAGATTAAAACTAAAATTAGACACCAGTTCACACCTCTGAGAATGACACATTTCAAAAAGACACCCAAAAAGTGGAGGAAGTGCAGAGAAAAAGGAAGACCATTACTTAGCTGTTGGTGAGCATAGATTAGAAAAACCATTATGGAAAGCAATCTGGATTGACCTTAAAAATTAAAAACAAATATAGTATAATCTCACAATCCTACTTTTGGGCATGTATCTACAGAATATGAACCATCAACAAAAATACCCACAAGGTCTACAATATTTACAGCAGCATTATTTACAATAGCTAGGATATGAAAGAAGTCTAAGTGCCTTCAATGGATGAATGGATTAAAAGATTGTGATGCATACATACCATGGAGGACTACACAGCCACAAGAAAGGATGAAAAGTAGCCATTTTCAACAAAATGAAAGGAATTTGAAAAAATTTTATGCAGCAAAACAAATCAGACTGATAAAAACAAATAATGGATACACATTTACCATAATAAGGTAAAACATTTTCAAAAATGATTGGAAATCAGCACACATTCTGAGGACTCTGAAGAACAGAGAGAGAAAAAGGGACAAAAGGGACAGAAGAGAAGGTGGTGGTGGAGGGGAGAAAACCCCCAAAAGAGACCAAGGAAGCTTCTGTAAAAGAAAATCTCAATCTCATATGACAATTGTCTTGTATTTTTTCTCTTGATTTTATACCTTAACATATCTAAATAAATACTATAATTTGAGCAATCAAAAACCAGGTACATATCTGTTCATATAACAGCATAACTAAGAATACAATTCCTCACGTTTTATCCCTTACTTACACTTCTTTTATTTCCCCCCCAAACTAGAACACACATACTAATACTACAAGGAACCTTTTGGCATGAAACATACATGATTATGAAAAATGAAGTATACTCTCAAAATGATACATAAAACTCACAACTGCCACTTACCCTCAAGAAAAAAAGAAAGTGTGGGCCCTCCCTGATGGGGCAAGCAGTTAAAGCACAGCACTATGAAGAGATCTGCAGCCACTGCAGCAGGAGTTCAATCCCTGGCCAGGAGCTGACCCACAAGGTACCGCATACCTCTCCCCTCTCACCCACTGCTCCCTTCAGCAGTGTATTTCAGTCAATCTGCTTGTTCTGTTCCCTACTCTGTCTCTGGTGAATTTTTTCATACCCTTCACCTGGTCTGTACCCCAGGTCTTGTATGCATAAATAAATCTTTTTAAAAAGTGCTATTTTAAAAAGTGCTCATTTAGTCAACAAATATTTGAAAATCTACCATATGTAAGGTGGCCCCCTGCCCCTGTGGAGCTTGTATTTTAAGAGGATGGGAGAAGACTGGATAAATAGTAAATACAAATAAACACAATCTTTCCTATATAGAAAAGAGAAAAGGGGCAGGGTAAAAGCAACAGTGCCACCATGTTAGGGTGAGGGTGCTACAGTATTAAAGTAAAGACACATTAAGATAGCATTTCGAAGACTTGAAAGATATAGTTAACCAAGCTGGTAGAGCTGAAGGAAAAGCATTTCATACAAGGGAAGCCGCGCAAATGCCCTGAGTTGGGAGAATGAAGGCCATGGTGGAGGAACAGTAAATAGCAGTCAGTATGGTTGAACTGGAACAAATGGGGGATGGAAGTAGAGGAAGCTGGAGAGACAGGACTT